ACTAGCCGCGGTATGTAGTTTGCTCATAAACAAAAAACAAAAAAAAAAAAACACTCTCTTCTTTTTATTGCCTCAATGCTCTACCTTTTTTTATTATTTATTTATTTATTTATTTATTTTTTTTTATTTGCTTCTCGGATTGTGTTTCCCATAAGCACCCATAATGTTTTCGATGTGTGTACGCGCGCATGAGCCTCTTCTTTTTTTCATTTACGTTTTCTGTTTCTTTCACTTGAATACTCTTTCGTTAGTAGGTCAGTAGTGGTCTTCTTGGTTGATGAACGTATTTTCCTACGAGCAATTATGTGTACACACACATTCTAACACAAACGACACATACATATACATAAAAAAAAAATATATTTATACATACAGATATATATATATATATATAGAGAGAGAGACATGTTTAGTTTATTCTTCACAATTCTTTCTTTCCTACATTTACGCAAACATACATTTAAATTGTGTAGTTTGTCTAAATGTCTAGTCAGAGACTGTTAAGTGATAGCTGTTTTGCATTAACACCCGCCGCGTTCAAGTGTGCGCATCAAAGACATCATACACGTGTATATATCGGATTCTCAATCGAGTAAGTCAAATCTGTTCATCGGTCTGGCATTTCTTGTTGAGAGTGAAAAGAAGGGAAGCCAAGATCTTACATTTGTCACTCTTATCGGTTATCAGAGTTACAAAGTGAATAAAACGTACACATCTGACTGGCTATTCTTTCTTCTCCCCACGTGTCACTCCAGCCGTATTACTTTTTGCCTTTCCATTTATGCGTCGTTTCGTTTATCGATATGTGTCTAAACTTGTTTATCTATTAAGCTACTTGTCTGCCCTTTTTTTCGCCTGCTTGAAGATTTATCAATCCGTGAACTTGTACACTCGCTTGTCTATCTGTGCCTTAATGCATTTACTAATTCATTTGGATTTACTTTGATCAGACCATTCGTTGCTCTATATACTCGTTCTTTTTTTCATTTGATTTAACATTGATTTTTCACGTCAACAAATTCACTTCTCCACATTCACCGGTTTGATCAACCTATTCATGCGTCTGTTTGCGCGCACACTGCTGCACATTCGTCAGTTCCTCGTCTCTATTCAAGTTAATCTGTATCCTTGGTCGTGTCCGTGAGTCGGACCATTCGTACATTTGCAGAATGCGTTCACCTCTTTCCCCAGCCTATTTATTCAAGCATGCGTTCTTCCGCTCGCAAAGTTCACATTGATCCGATTTCGTATTCACTCACTCTGTTTCAAAGCCGTTTGGTTTATCTGTCTATGCTTGTCCGTTAAATTGTGCATACAACCAGCCATGTATCCATTATCTGCGTGTGTGTGCTGATGTTTAAATTTTTCAATCCGGCATTTCTCCAACTCTATACACATTTCTCCGTCTTGCAATTCACTTATTCACATATTCATTGGGAATTGTCTTCGTCCGTCCCTCAGTAGCGATGGAGGAAAGTTGTTTTAAACTGAAGTTACTAAAATTTTAGATTTCAAAAATTGTGCCAGTTTGTCTTTCTTGAACTACAATAATTATTCGGCATTAAGTGATTTTTTAACACTTTCGATAAAATTAGTCCCATATAGGTAAACCATGACTTCAAATTTGTGCGTGCTTGGAAAGATTTATTTCGTTGCGCAGACCAGTTAACTGGGATCAATTTCACAAATCACACAGTTAAGAGTCGTATAGATCTCGCGGAATAGTTAAACAATTAAAAAAACTAAAACAATCCATGAATTATGAAAAATACAAATTATTCAGTGAAGTTATTTATTGCTTTCTTACTTTCGTTGTTTGTATTCACTCATTGTAAGTTTAACGCGTCCTTTGCATTCGAAACGTGAAAGTTAATTAATTGCTTCGTTTATGGATAGTTTAGGAATAGTTTGTTTGTCCTTAAGGCGTTAATGTTTTTATGTTATGTTATGTTAATAGACTGTTTTATAAAGTGTAGCAGAATTTTTTCATAAGTTTAGACAAATGCATCGAATATAATATCATAATAATTACTCAACGTTCGTATATAAAAGATGCCACTCATCTGCCGCTAAAAGTGCTATTACTATGACATCATCTAAGATCACCTTTGACAATGCCGTTAACCTAGTGAAATATAAATTTGCGATTGCACACACACACACACACACACATAGAAAAAGGTGTAGGAGAAAACCAGTAAACACAGAGAGAGATTTCAATGAATACAAATCAAAACTCAGAATGCACAATGCAATAACCATTAATAACCAAGCAATATATAATATTATGCAGTCTAAAAAGTATTAAGCTTATAAATAGTAACAATGCTCAATATTCTTAAATGTCATACCTATGTCATATGTATTGGCATAGGGATTGTCTTTCCTTAATGGCTTAATACTTTCTGGATTAGTTAATATGACAAAAAAACAAAAAAAAAAAAAAAGAGTCCACGCTAGCACACATAAAGGTAGGCGGTTAAGAATAATAAAAGAGAAAAAAGAAAGAAACAAATCAACTTAATAGTAAACAAGCATCCAACCAGATGGCGAGTCATGATTTTTCCAAAAAATAAAAACTTTTTTTTTTTCTCATTTCTTTTTAGTGAATATTTATGTTTCTTACCGTGCATTTCCCAGCAGCATAAAAAGTAAATTCACACACAGAATATATGCATATGACACAGAGCAAAAAAAAAAGGATTTTTTTTATTTTTTTTATTGTATTTTAGGCAAACATACAGCAACACAATGAAAAGCAGTGATTTAATAATTGATGAGTTAAGTTAAGCTGAAGTTTGAACATTCATGTCAAGCAAGAAGACGCCGCCTTTGAGTATAAAAGCAATGATTACGTATCTAAAAAAAAAAGAAAAAAAACCAAACAAAAACAAAAATAAATAAATAAACAACGAAATTGACTTTCTTTCAGACACATTTACACGTAGACACACAGGCACACTCATGCACTTCTACACATTAAGGTGCGGAAGAAGAAAACAGTAAGCAAGAGCAGAAAAAAAATTTATGTTGCATGCAATATTATCATGTTGCCGTTGTAAGAATGTTGGTGTTGGTTGTCGGTTGTTATTGTTGCTATTGCTGGTTTAGTGCATAATGATTAAGTGGCAAAAGTGCAGCATATAATGAAATTGGAAGTTGTGGGAATTGTTAGAGTCTCTGATGGTATTGTGTGTGATTTTGTTTTTTTGTCTCTTAACTTTTATGTGATTCTTTTCGTATGCAAGTATATGTTTGTGTGCGTGTGTGTTTGTTTGTTTATTTGTTTGCTTGCATGTTTGTTTGTTTGTTTGTGTGTTTGTTTGTTTGTATTCATGTGTTGTTAAGTCAAACTGGCGGGTGGTCTTTAAGGTTTCTTTCTTCCTCGGTTTTTTAGTTAAAATTTTTCGTTAAGCCTGGTTTTGCTTTAAATGTGAATAATTTTTCCGAAAACGCTTGTTTTCTCCCACCAAACGGAAAACGGTGTAAAAGCTTGTGTTGTGTATTTAATCATGTCTTGTTTTCGAGACAAGATGCTATGACCATAGTAGTAGTATTAGTAGTATTAGTAGTAGTAGCAGTAGATTTAAAACTGGTTATGTGTACATATCGGTCTATACATAGATGCGAGTGTATGCGCATGTATGTATGTTTATGTCGATATTTTTTCCAAAAAGAATTTATTTAATGGTTTTCTTTTCTTTATTTATTTTATTTCAATTTTTTTTTTTTTTTTTTTTTTTGGTACGTGTTGCGAAACTTATAAAAATTACGTTTTTGATATTATTTGATCACTTTTCTGGCGCTTACAATATGACTATTGGTTTTTCTTTACTTTTATTTTTGTTTTCTTTTGCTTTTTTGTTTTATTTTCTTATAAAGAGACTTGAAAGCGATCTCCTCCTATCATCGTCATCACTGGTGTTTTATTACTTCGGTTTGGTTTTCTTCACTTCGTTCATGTGTTTGCTTTTATTTTATTAATTTATTTGCTCTTTTTTCCTCTTTTGTTTTTTTTTTTTGTTTTTTTTTTGTTATGTTTTTCTTTACAATTATAAACGTGTTTATCGTAGCCATTCGCAGAGGTGTGCGCTGAGGAATGGTTTTCGTTTGAGTATTGTGCTATAGCTGTTGGGTGCAAAAACTGTCTGTGGCCCGTTGGCTCGTCTTCGCAAACGTTAAACGGTGCAAATCTTGATGTGAATATTTTAGGGTAACATAAGTGAAAGTGCAAAATTGTTTAATTTATGAAAAAAAAAAAGAAGAAATAAATAAAATAAATAAAATGTTTA